TGAACATTTATATTTCTTGTATTACTCTCGTGATTATATACCCCCATATCTGCATTAAATAAGATGTCATTGATTAAATGCTGTACTATTGCCTGGGTTCTATGGTTGTAACTTTTCATTTTCATAGCGACATGCTCGCCATATATGTCAGAAGCATCACGTTGATTTATTCCTTGTATTATATTTAAGGCGGCATCGATTCGAGGATCAGATTTAGTTTCTGGTTCGGCTTTCTTTCTTTTCGGTTGACGTGCAATATTTCTGTCAGGTACAACATTGGGTTGACGTGCAGCATTCTGTTCATTTACAACAACCTGCCGACGTACATTCTTGTCGTGTACCATATTTGATTCATGTCCAACATTCGTACGTTGTGTTTGTTGTAACTCAAAATCTTCCGTGAGCGTATCATCTATTGTTTCCTGTAGAGTAGTGTCCTGATCGTTGTGGTCAATTGAGTCATTATCAAAATTTTCATCCTAAAAAAAGATAACTAAGTATCATCTTTTTAATGATTTTCAGATGCCACAAACTCAGGAGGAATGGTTCCAAGTGGCTACAGAATTCGAAGAACAATGGAACTTTCCACATGCAATTGGAGCCATCGACGGGAAGCATGTGCTTATGCAATGTCCTGCGGCTAGCGGTAGTGATTACTACAATTATAAATCCTTCTTTAGCATCGTCTTATTCGCAATGGTGGATGCGAACTACAAGTTCATGTTTGCGGATGTTGGATGTCAAGGTAGGATCTCTGACGGGGGCGTCTTTAAGAATACTAAACTTTATGAAGATCTGTGCAACGGGGAATTAAATTTACCACCTCCAAAAACACTATCAAATGATAAAACGCAATTACCATTTGTAATTTTGGGAGATGAAGCTTTTGCTTTAAGTGAGAATTTGATGAAACCTTATTCAGGGTTCTACGAAAAGGGTTCTAAAGAAAGGATATTCAATTATCGTTTAAGCCGGGCTCGAAGAGTGGTAGAGAATGCGTTTGGTATTTGTTCGAGTGTTTTTAGAGTTTTACGGAAGCCACTACTTTTAACAGCCGAAAGAGCACAATTAGTTGTAATAGCTTGCATTTATTTGCATAACTTCTTGCGGAACAGTAACACATCTAAACAGCTATATTGTCCGGAGAACTGGTTAGACACAGAAGTCAACGGCCAGATGATATTTGGAAAATGGAGGAGTGACAGTGAAATGACCTCTTTAGCTCCTTTGAGAAAAGTGCCAAGAAGGCCATCACGTCATGCCCAGGAAATTAGAAACGAATTTTCTAGATTTTTTTCCACGACTGGATCCGTTCCGTAGCAAAATGAATACGCTTGAGTTTGTTAATATTTTTGTTAATAAAAAGTGGTAAAAGTTTTCAAAAATAATATAGCGGTAGACAGCCGGAAACGACATTCCCAATGCGTTTGCAGTACAATAAAAACATATTTATAAAAAAAAATGGTTTCTACCTCCGTTTCCTCCGCAGGTGTGCCCTCCACAATTTTACTTTTATTTTGAGAGGTGTTTAGGGACTTCCTGCATTTACTCTTGTCCATTAAAAATTGGTTCGAATCCAAACCACTTACTCCTATAAATCTCATTTCGCCCTGAAAAAATATGTTTTTACCATCGCATTAATAAATGGTAAAGAACATTACCTTTTCCAGTCCCCGTAGTACTCTCCTGTCTAGCTTTTTCTCGCCGAAATGACGCCAGAAGAGAGTTTAGTTTTGCCTTAATAATTTCTACATTACTCTCTAGTTCAGCGGTTCTCCAAGTATTTTTTTGCGTACCACTAAATGTATTGTGGATTAGTCGCGTACCACTGAACTGTTAAAAATTCTAATAAAACTTTAAAAACGGTTAATTTCACCAGGTAAAGTATTACAAAATACAATTGTTTAAAAAATATTGTTTATTAGTAAGTAGTTAATGCGAACAATGGTGCTGCATGCTCGATACAAGTGCGGAAATGTTGGGTTGAGTAGTACTTAATTTCAAACGCAAATTTGGGTCTATGTTAAGCTTATTTCTGCATTTGTTTTTTAGAAGTAACATAGCAGAAAATCCGCTCTCACAAGGTAGGTTGTAGTAAATGGAATCAAAAATAATAATGCTCTTCTGGACAGCGGTGGATATTCATTTTTAACTTTTAGCCAAAATTCACACAACTGTAGTTTAGTAAATTCAGCTCTCAAACCCTCATCGCAAGATAGTTCTATCAAACACTCTTTTTCGCTAATAGTTAGGTTTTCAGGAACATTATTCACATCCAAAGTGAATGGGTTTCTTATCCTCAAGAATTCAGAGTAATCTTCTTTAAAATATTCTTCAAAGGTTTCAATAAGCATTTGGCAATGCTTTTTTATGTCCTCGATGAAATCGTCACTTACTGTAAGGCTATTTTCTGCCACAAAATTTTCCAAAGTAGAAAAAGACTCCAAGTGGTTATTCGAAATGATATTGTTTATCATTTGAAATTTCTTGATAAATGCTTTTATTTTGTCATTTACTGAAAATCTATTTGTTGTTTTGCCTTGCAAACTGAGATTTAAGTCGTTGATGCGATTAAAAATATCTGATAAGTAGGCTAATGTTGTAATCCAGAGCTCATCAGTCAGCCGATCACGCAATTCAAAATCAGTCTCCATCAAGAACAACTGCACCTCAGAACGTAGCTCAAATAACCTGCTCAGCATTTTTCCTCGCGAAAGCCACCTGACCTCCGTGTGTAGCAACAACTGAATATGGTCACTGCCCATTTCAGAACACAGTTTGGAAAATAAACGAGAGTTTAGAGCTCGCGATTTAATAAAATTTACCACTTTGATGGTTTCCTGGAGAACATGTTTAAATTGTTCAGGCATACATTTTACTGCTAAGGCTTGTCTGTGGATGTTGCAATGCATGAAAGTACAACTGTCTGCAACAGATTTTACTTTTGTGGCAACGCCTCCAAATTTTCCCGTCATAGCTCGAGCACCATCAGAACAGAAACCAACACAATTCATCCAGTCCAGTCCATTTTCAGCAAAGAATTCACTCAGCTTCTTAAATATTTCATCCGCTGTAGTTCGAGTTGGTAGCGCCTCACAGAATAAATAATCTTCCTTAATTGTATTTGCATGTATATACCGCACGTACACCATAAGTTGAGCATAGTTTGTTACATCTGTGCTTTCATCGAGTTGTATCGCAAAAAATTCACTACGCTTCACACGATCTATTAATTGATTTTTAACATTTAATGCCATAGTTTCAATCCTGCGGCGAACGGTATCGTTAGATAGCGATATCATATCTAGCTTTTTAGCTGACTTCTCACCCAACATACAAGTAACCATATCTTTTGCTGCAGGCAACACCAGCTCTTCGCCAATTGTATGAGCTTTTCCAGATTTTGCTATTCTTAAACTAACTAAGAAAGATGCCTCCACAGATTTTTCTGTACTGCCAGTAAACGAAGACATGATGTTCTTAGTGCCTTTCATTTCGGATAATTTTCGAATGAAAAAATCCTTGGGTTTGTTTACTAACGCATTATGTTTCGTGGTAAGGTGACGATTTAGTAATGAGGGTTTCATGCTTTGGTTCGATAAAATTTCAAAGCAGATCACGCATTGTGGTCGCGGCTCATTATTTACATCTGTCACTGTAAATCCAATATTAATGTACTCAGGATCATATTTTCTTACAAGTTTTCGTATCTTGGTAGGGACTTTATCGTCTTGGATCACCGCACAATCTGACTCTGAAGTAGAGGTCGATGGTATAGGATTTCGAGCACAACTTCTTTTGCTTGATGTTGCAATATTAAGCCACTTATCCATGTTGACTTTATAGAATTTTACTCGAAAATAAACCAAATAAATCAAGTCAAAGTTTCTTGCATGAGCAACGAACCGCACTAGCTTCCCACGCAATACGGAGTCAACTGAAGCTCTGTGGCCAGTGAACTGGGTGGGGGCCTAAACTAAAGGAAAACTCGCGGCAGTGTTCGCTAGTATTCGCGCGAGATTCGAACAAGGTCGCGGCTGCGCGAGAAATTTGAAAATGTTTTATTGTTAATGCTCCATCAATGGCTCTATTATATTCATGGCTGCTTGCGTACCACTTTGAGAAGCTTCGCGTACCACTAGTGGTACGCGTACCATAGTTTGAGAACCGCTGCTCTAGTTGTTTCGCTATTTCACACCATGCATCATTCTTTTTTAATTTATTATAATAGTACTTGTGAGTCGCTTGCCACAATTCAGGATACAAGCCATACGCGGCAATTAATTGTAAACATTTTTCTTGCTCCCACTCCATTTTATCGCACAAATAGATGAAAACTAACTAAAAGGACAAACGTTGCTGCTTGCGAACTAAAACATCTGACTCCACTACACGCGCATTCGCAACGAATTCCTTTTGATCTACCGACATCTCCCGGAACAACTACGCGCACGAACGTGCGCGCCAGTCTGGCTCCACCGGAGGAATACATACGTTCGCAAACAGTTGCAAAGGTTTGCGAACGTTTGCAAACGTTTTGCGCGTTTGGTGGATCCCCGGCTTTAGAAGTGAAGAAACGATTGAATAAGTAAGTATATAGTACTCTGTGTCTAATAGTAATTTTGGAGAACAGCTTGAAAATATTTTACCACTAAGAAAAAGAGCCAACAGTGGCAATGTTGATATCTCTGCATGGTCTAAAATCAAAAATAAAGAAAACAGAGAGAAAGGACTGCAATACTCAAGGAAAAAAAACTCTGAAGGAAAATGGGATTATAACATTCCTAGAGATGAAAAAAGACTTGCAAACCCATACCTTTGTAAAATTTAAAATAATTCCAAAAAAATTGAATGTGACAAAGTGAGCGGGGAAGATTGAGAAAAACTTTTTAAACGGTTTTGGAAGCATATGAACTGGAATGAAAGAAAAATTTATATTCAAAATTTAGTCAAAGTTCAAATGGTACAAATAAGAAGAGGCACTGGAGAAACCAGTAAGAGAAACCTTTCGTTTAAATATCACTTAAAAATAAATAATGCGTAAATTAGAGTCTGCACGTTAGCCATGAAAGAATCTACAGTTTTAAATTGGGTAAAAGTAGACAAATTATAAGAAGCAGAACGTAAGTCTAAAGATAAAAGAAAAGAAGTTAGGATGTATGAAGGTTTAAATAATAAATTAAAAGAATTTTTCGATTTACTCCCTAAAATGGTCACATTATTATCGAGCTTCCACTAGCAAATTGTAACTGGAGCCAACATGGTCCTCAATCAATGAATTGTATAAGTTTTATAAAAACAGTTTTTGCGCTGATAATGAGATTTCACCTGTGTCTAGACTGTTTTTTTCAAAGAGTTCAGTAAACAAAATTTATCTCTGTACATCCCTAAAAAAGATTTATGCGACATCTTCGTAGCATATGACACCAAAAATCTTAGCGAAGAAGAGTATAACTTACACCAGGCTATGAAAAAAGAAGCTCGGGAAGAAAAAGAAAAGGACAAACAATCTGCTTCAACTTCGGCAGTTTTTACAATGGACTTACAGGCCGTACTTCTGTGTCCAAAATCAACTGTAAGCGCGATGTAAAACCAAACTAGTGAGTAGTGATGCACAATTTTACACTCTTCAATTTAAAAACACAGGAAGGTTACTGTTTTCTTTGGCACGAAGTGGAAGGTGTCCTAACATCAAACGAGTTCGCATCAATTTCGGTCCAATTTTTGGAAAACAAAATAATCCCGTCTTTACCAGGAGATAATAAAGAAGTAATATTTTACAGCGATGAACGCACTGCACAAAACAGGAACTCCATTCTAGCAAACGCGTTTGTTAACGTTTGTATGCTCCATAATATTATCATTCAAAAGTTTCTTGAAAAGGGCCCTACACAGATGGAAGTTGATTCTATGCATTCCTGCATCGAAAAGAAAATTAGAAATAGAAAAATAAATGTCCCAGCGGATAATGTTCATGTTTGCAGACTCGCTAGATCGAAACCAAAACCATATGAGGTGCAATACCTTACGCATACTTTGATAATCTCAAATATTATAAATCAATTCGACCTGGAAGAGATACAGTTACAAAAATTCGGGCTTTTAAATATGAGAGCACCGGGAAAATTTTATTTAAGTTAAGACACACTGATCCCTGGGGAGCACTAAGTCAAAGACTTACATTGGCGGAACCTCGGACAATGGAAGGTTTAGACAACATGTATTCAGAAAGACGAAAACTAAAGAAAGACAAGTATGAACACCTTCAAATTTTAAAGAAGAGTTTATTACAAGATTTTCACGAATTATATGATCACCTTCCCTACCAATAAGATTACTTATTTTAGATACTCGTATTAAAGTATGTCTGATTTGTTTCTTGAAAATATATTGATAAATTCAAATTTGTTGTTAATATAAATGTATTTAAATTAATGCCACAACTTTCAATAAAGTTAACCGGTATTTTGGAATATGGTGTCCATGTTACCAACGATCAGAAAAATGCGTAACTCCCGCCATGCATTAATTTCTTAGAATATTTAAAATTGATCTTGTCTGATAAAATTTCATTTATAGTGCCAAAATAAAATATTTAGTACGTTAAATGTTCCAAAATTTCGTTTTGATAGAATTTTTTGCTTCTCCTGTAAAATTTAGCCATAAGGAGTTAAGCGATTTTCTCCTGAAGGGGACGATTTTTTGTTTTATTCAATTATCATAATCTCCTACTCTTTCTGAACACCGTGTATATTTACTTTTACAAAGCATGTAAATAAAATGGAAGTCTCATCTTAAAGTGACAGTAATCATTTTGTGTAAACACCCACTACGACACGATTTATTTGTTTGGTAAAATATGAAAAATAAACGGAAAACATGCCAATCCAAATAAAATATTGCACTCGACAAGAAAATAAAAGGTAAGAATATATAAATGAAGATACCAAAATACTGTGCCGAGTTGCACCAACAACTCACTTAGAATTAAGTAAATGAGAGATTATCACGAAAGGGGGTTCCTGTTTTCGCACTCCAGTATAAATTTTATAGCTTTAATTAACATTTTGAGGCTAAAGTTTAATTGAGCGCGAACATCCGTAATGAGGAAAAGAAGCTTTATTTTGATATTTAAGCGCTTCAATATTTAAGTTTTCTCGCAAATTTCTGCATTTAAATTCACGTATTTTTGAACCGAATTTGCGGAAGCACTGCGCCTTTATAAGTAATCCTCAAATTGACCCACTTGCCAAGGGAAACGTTTTAAGTATATTCTAATGCTTTTTTGAAAATCTTATTCGAATTAAAAGATATTACTGCGGAAGACGTTAATTATTCCCGGAGTTCTCACATTATTAAAAAAGTTTTCACATTTCCGCATTGGTTCGCGTAGGGCGTACATTGTCGGTATGGAAAAATAATGCAACGAACTCTCTTCGTGTAAAGTAAAATATGAAATTCTCGAACTTTTAGATTAAGATATTCTATACATCAATTGGAAAAACTTCTGAACACAAAGCAGTTTCCGACACTTTTTCGTTCTGAAGGGATTCATTATTCCTTGCTACAACATTTACACAAGCAGAGTTCAGCTTTAACTCCGCCATAAACGCGATACACTACACAGAATGTGTCATTTTTAGAAAAAGTAAGCCTGAAATGAGTGAATTATAGATGCATTTTTACGTATCTGACATGACAGCTCCCTAAATTATCCTTATTACCTTTAGTCGAGCTTTTTTGCAAGGATTATTTTCTATACTATTCCATAGAGCCCCTACGTCTGAATGTTACTTTAATGAAGAATGTCTGACACAGCTGTCTACGGGAATAATGTATATTCGCGCGAATTTATTACTTCACTGCGAAATTCCTTTGTTGAAGTAGCTTCCTTTACGTAAAATAATATTTCTTAACATTAATTTTGTAAAAATCAGTCGTACGGCATTAATATCCACTTTTTGTATATCTAATGTTTTTTTAAGCAACGTGTGACAAGTTGCTACATTAAGGTAAAGAGAATGTAATTTGTCAGTAACATCACTTTTGCAGAAGGGAATACGAAAGATATTTAATGTCTTTGTTTATACATCTGTAAACAAAAACATTTATTTTACTTTGGAAAACTCTTTGTTTCGTAGCGGTAGCGGAGCGTGTAATTTGTAGCGATATTAACTGAGAAATTCAAACACAAACAGAACGTCTAACGATCAACAACCAAAGTCAAATCTATTATTATCTATTTACATTGTATACCTGCGCTCTAATCTAAAGACATCAAAAACTGAACATAAATGCTATCTAGCGGTCTATAATAGCAAATTAAACTTTTATAATTCAACACTCTTTTAAATAAATGTATGCGGTTCTACATTTGTTAACAGCAGTTTACAAAAAAAAACTGTAACAAAGTGAAACTGTACCGGGAAAGCCACGGATAAGTAAAAATTTGCTAGCTGTCAAGTATCTATAGAGCACCACACGGTAGCCTTTTAACTGTGTAACGTTGTTTCGTTGAAGGTACTCTTAACTTGAGTAACTGACTGAATGCGCTTTTAGTGTGTTAGGAGTAGTTGATACCATTAGGATTGGAGGAAGTTGCTTTTGTCGTTGAAATGACAGGTTCTTATTTCATATTGAAAATCTAGAAGCGTCAAGCTAAAATTGTCTAAAATATTGATAGTCCAATACGTGGACATCAAACATGGTCCTTCGAGCCGGATTGAAAATTAATTAGACAATTATGTTACGACCATGATTAGTGAAGGGAGTAGTTAAGGCGTTCATAACCGGTTGCAACCCTAAGTTGTTGTTATTCAGTAGTATTAAGTAGTTGGTTGAAGTCAGTATTCTGTAGTAGATAAATAAATACTTGTTGTTAACAAGAGTGCTTTTTACTATTCCTTCAACCACAAAGAAAAGTCCACTACAAGAACGATCGACATTAAACAGCCTGCATCACTAAATTGAACTTTCTCATTACCAGTGTTGCCTTTTATTCAGATTCACATTATTGATCAAATGAATTTCTTACTATAAAATCAAGGTCGCTACGATTTATCAAAGTGGGGGTGGCTTATAGAGAATATTGGTAAAAAAATTAACAATTTGGCAACATTGACAAAAAACTAAATAGTGAATAGGTTTCCATGCAAAGGTTATAAAATGACATCGAATCAGCTAAAAATTTATAGGATGTTCCTTTTAAAAAAAATACGTTTGTGTGTTGATACCGTAAAAATGGGACACCCTGTACATTCTTTCATAAAGTACTGATGGAGCAGGCATTGTTTCGTACATGCAATGTACTGCATTTTGCAGTAGTTGGCATTGTGAAAACCTTGTAAAGAAGTTGAACACCTTGTAATGAATTAATACAGTCATGACGTCCAACGTTGTGACGTAATGTATGATCGGTTCGTTAGTAGGACAGCAGTCATGACTCATGATAGCACCGTGAAGCGCACTTCTTGTGCGTATTGTGTGCTCCAAAATAAAACATATTATGTTATTAGTAAATTAGGTATAAATGTGTGAGTTTTATTTATTTAATTTTTCATGAGATCAGACATTATTACATGGCGATCCTGCCAAAAGAACAATTAAAGTGTTTAACGTAGAATTAAAAATTAGTGTAAAATGTTTAATATTATAATAACGTGCAGTTCGCAGTATAAGAAGGAGAGAATCATCATTGAGGTTGCTGGATCGGGTAACAACAACGTCAATCAACCGAGGTCTGACGTCGAGGGCACCAAATTCACAGAAAATTGGAGTTACCGTGATCATTGCCCTGCTGTCCGTCGCCATTGCCTATTTTTTATGGGAACAGTGTAAGAATAATTGGGAAGGCAGCGTACGTAGAGAGGTCATCCGTAACCACGAATTACTTGCAATTCCTGCACGAACCGCTCCAAGAAGGAATTATGAAGAAAACGAGTAAGAGTTATGGTAGAATTAGTAGATTTTTTAGATTACATGCTATCGCCAGTGCGTTTTTAAATAATAGGAAAAAAGGAAAAACGTAGTGGTTTAGAGTACAATAGGAAAAAACTAAACGATTTAGGAGAATTTACGTTAGAATTAAATAATTTACGATTAAGGTTTTACGAAGAACTAAGTCTTCAACATTGAAATTAGACGACCAGGTTAAAGGTACGATAAGGTCTATTGAAGATATTTTAGCAAAATGTCGTAATTTAATAGAAAGTAGGATAAATTTAGGTAATAAGCTAGACAAAATGGGCGAATCCTTTGCGTTAAAAACCGCTTCGGGTCTTTTGCCGTGTATGGATTGGGAAAGAGCCAACTACGAAGCAATTGATAGATTCTATTAGATTATACGCAGATTTATTAAAAAAAGAGGATCATGGAATTCTAATTAAGTACGTTTTAAAAACGAGACTCGGAAAATGCTAGGTTAGATTAAATACGTCGTACGATACAATAGATTCTTTACTTAGTGAGATTAGTGACAATTTTATTACGAAAATGTCAGCCACTATTTTATCTCATCAGCTACACTATTAAACTGTTAAACCAAAGTTTTATATATATATATATATATATATATATATATGAAGAGTACCGGGAAAAAACGTGCCAAGTCATTTTTCTATCAAAAATGAGTTACATATGCCATCTGGTAGCTAATTGAATGCACTATAATATACAGTCTTCGCACAGGGAATGAATGCTCTGTGCCATAAGCAATTTAATATTTTAGTATTCATGTGCTGGAAAAAAACGTGCAGAGTCAGTATGTTACCGGAATAAAACGTGTTAACTCAATGTAGTCATTATTTAATATTGCTAACCTAAAAATGAGTTAAGTGCAAGTGCTGTTAATGCCATTTCAAGAAATAAAAACATGGCTAGTGCAAGTGATACAAGTTGTGAAAGTGTGAACCTTAAGTCAAATGATTTATCAAAAAAACGAAAAACAACTGGTCGCATGTCAGAAGTTGCAAAAAAGCTTCGATTGCAGTCTCATGAAATGGGGTTAGACTGTAATTGTGTCCGATTTAAATGTTTTCAAAATATCTTGCTGGGTGAAAGAATCAAAATACTTAAAGATTTCAATAGTCTAAGTTCCTGGAACGAACAAAGTGCCTATCTTTGTGGACTTATTGGTTTAAGTCCTGTTATTCAAAGAAGAAACCGGCGTCCCGAAGAAGATAGCAACTTTCGAGAAGCATCGTATTCCTACAAAGTACGAGTGTTCAGGGATGGTAGGACCATAGACGTCCCAGTTTGTTTAAAAGGTTTTTGCTCCATGCATGGCGTCACAAGAAGGAGAATTCAAACTATTCATCAAGCGCTTAAGCTTAAGGGAACGGCACCTCAAGACAACAGAGGAAAACATTCCTCTAAACATCGAAAACTTAAAAAAGACTTTGCCGATTGCGTTGAGGCCCATATTAAATCATTTAAAGGTAGATCAAGCCACTATAGCTCCACTAAAACTAAAAAGTTGTATTTACCCGAAGAACTAAACATTAAAAAAATGCATGCACTATATCTCTTGAAATATCCACAAAAAACGGTATCCTACGAAACGTACAATTTTTTCAACAAAATTTAACATTAGTTTTGGGTTTCCACGTTCGGACACATGCAGTACATGTGATGAATATATTGCCAAAATTAAACCATTGAATACCAAACTCTTGGAAAAGAATATTACTAATGAAGAGAAGGAACAGATAAACCGTGAAATACATGACATTACGCTGAAGAACACAATTCACAAGAAAAAAGCTGAAACATTTTACACCAGAAAAAAAGACGCTCGCATTCGTAGTAGAAAATTGTTGGATACAGAGGCGATAGCAATGGACTACCAAAGAAATCTACCAACACCCAATATCTCAACAAATGACGTTTATTATAAACGTCAATTGTCTTTTTATTCCTTCAACATTCATAGACTATCTGATGCCGACTCTGTGTTTTACACGTATCCACAAGAAATTGCAAAGAAAGGATCAAACGAGGTATGTTCCTTTGTGCAAGACTATGTTACTCATCATCTTCCACAAAACATCAAACATTTAAATATTTTTTGCGATTCTTGTGGTGGACAAAATAAGAATTTTACAACTTTTCGATATTTCCATTACTTGGTTCACCGTTCAAACAGATTTGAGAGTATTAGAGTTACGTTTCCAGTTAGAGGACATTCTTACATGGAATGCGATAAGAATATGGGATTAATCAATACAAAAACTAGAGTTGAATTACCTAAAGATTGGGTACAGGTCTTCAAGACAGCTCGAGTTAAACCATCCCCTTTCAAAATCGAAGAAGTGGAGAATCATGATGTAAGAGACTGGAGTGCATTTCTAAATCCACTGTACGTTAAAAAATGCCCATTCCAATCCAGACCAATTAAAGAGTTAGAAATCAGGAAAGAACATCCAAGAATGCTCTTTTATAGAGAAACGTACAATGGAATGTGGATTTCTTCTATTATTACCCAGACAAGACGAAAACAGCTTCGTGGACCTCCACTGGCAGACAATGAATTTTATTATCCACCAAGAGCATATCTTGGTAAGCATTAAATTTTTTTTTGTTTATTTTTTTAATGCATGTTTTCAGAAAAAATACCGCTTACAAGAGATAAATACGATAATTTGCAAGAATTGAAAAGGTTTTGTGATGTAAGCACTTTTTCTTACTACGAAAATCTTCCGAAATTGCCAAAAACAAAGAAGAAAAACAATAAGAAATAATGAGTCTTGTATCTTTATACGAAACTAATGACTTATATCATTTTTTCCCTGTTTATGTTATAGTTACAGTTTTGTGATGCAATATCTGCCAACAATATAAGTATTATTGTTTAAACGAGTTTTTATTTAAAAAACAGCATTTAAATACAACGTTTATACATATAAACAAAGGTATCCGCGGAAAAATAAACACATTATAGCGTTTTCAACTTAAAAATGAGTATATTGATGATTTACTCAAAA